AAGTTCCAAGTTCATCCATCAGATGTTAGGCTGGAGGCTTTCCCTGACTCATAGCTGCAGAGGCTGATGAACCCACGACCAGCAGGTCAGATGCCAGGCCTCTAGTTGCAGAAGTGAATGACTCCAAGGACAGTGGGTCAGTCCATTGGCTCAAGTCCAAAGAACCAGAGGTAGGGCGATGGCCACATGCAAGATCCAGACCAGCAAAAAGCAAGCAAGCTTTTCCACAGCATCCACTTGTATTGGAAGCAGACCATACACCCAAGCCATGATCACTAGCTCTTACCTGCCAAACTACTGTGAATTCTAGGCCAGCGGAGTTGACACACAACCTTAACAGTCATAGGTGCACTGTTATTTTGTTCCTTACCATGGAGTCAACTCCAACTTGCGTGTCCAAGAAGAACTGGGCTCCACAGGTTCTTGTTTCCCCGAAGTGTATCACCAGGCCTTTCTTCTGAGGCACCTCTGGGTGAACTGGAACCCCCAACCTTTCCGTTAGCAGCCAAGAGCATTCATTGTTTGCACCGCCCAGTGACCCCAGTGAATATTATTATTGTCTCCCATTTCAGAGGAAGAAATGGAGACTTGGAGAGGCAGAATGACGTATATAAGGAGACACAAACCAGGGAAGAAAAATATTATTAATTTGAGAGAGATTCGTCTTCCACAACTGTGCTGAGATCCCAGTGAAAAACACCAGGAGATTTTAAAACATTCAAGTCGGAGTGAAACAGACACTATGTACCACTAATAACATATACTGCTCTCCCTTCAGCACTCTGTGTCAAGAACCTTCCAGCAATGTCTCCTCTAAGCCTATAAGGGGACCCCCCCCTCCTGCAGGGGGAGGGGCAGACCCATGACATTGCCCTCAGGGAGCCTGGGTCTGGGCTTCCTCCAACAATGAGGTCTCCAGCCCCTGCCTGGATGGGCTGCCCTCTCTCAGCTCCTGGTGGCTGCCCGTGGAGAAGAGGCTAAGTCTTGTCAGGTTTTCAGTCTGGTCAACCATAGACGGAAACCCGGATTAACCCTAAAATCCCTGGAGGATACGCCCTGACAGCAAAGTTTAAAAATGTAAAACCCTGCCTGGACCCAACAGATCTCAGTGAGTGAATTGGCCATGGCCCACAATTCAATGCGGATTTATATTTTCACCCTTTGCCCTGGTGACACAGTAGAATAAATGTTGGGGTGCTCACCAGAAGGTGGGCAGTTCGACCCCTCCAGGGAGAACATCGAGGCAGCCTGCATGCATAACCGAGATAGGCAGGAAAAACAATCTGACAAAGCTCCTGTCTCCTCTGTGGCTTGGAATCTCCCCAAGTCCGAATAGGTGGCAGCAGGTCTGGGTTTGGTTTTATATGCTTTGTGCTCAATCCACGGGGGCTGAGCTCTCTTGTGGACCGGGCAGGCTGGAATAGAGGGGCTCAAGGATTGCCCTCTTGTACAGAGGACTAAACAGAGTCCAGAGAAGCCGGAGTTTGCCCTAAGCCACACAGGGGCTCCAAGGCGGGGCTGGGAGTGCTTGCTTCTACAGCTGTCACTCAGAGCTGTCCCCACCACGGAGCAAAGAGGAGGGAGGACTGCGGAGGGAGGAGAAAGAAGGGGGACTAGGACCCTCCCAGACTGTTCCAAGCACTGGGCAGCTTGGCTCACACCCAGAACAGTCCTAGCTCTGGCCGAAGGGTCTGTCTCTCCTCCCAAGTGCAGAGACGGCTCTGTCTGTGCTCAGCATGCAGAGATGGGGGCTCTGGGCCATGGCACCCCTGATTCTACTGGCTGTCCAGGCCTTCCCACAAACAGACATCAGTATCAGCTCAGGTAAGTGTGAGGGCTGGGCCAGGTGACGCGGGGCTACCCCACAAAGACCTGGGGTTCCATCCCTGAGTCCTGGCTGCTTGGGCATAGACCCGTCTCAGCAGAGGGATATTAGGGGACCTGGCTGAGCCTCATGACAGCCCCAGCCCCAACCCTGAACCCCTATCATGGGCCCTACCCAAGACTAGTTTAATCGGCACCAAGTGGGGAAAAATTGTTTTGTCTGTAGCTTGCTGGCCTTGCTGGGTAATGTCATTGCTTAACACACTGGGCTGCTGATCAAAAGGTTGCAGGTTCCAATCCATACAGAGGTACCTGGCACACAAGGCTTGGTGGTCTGCTTTTGAAAAGTCAGCCACTGAAAAGCCAACAGAGCACGTCTTTGCAGCTGACAGCTGTGTGAGCTGAGCAACATGCTTCACCTTCTGAAACATGGGGCGCAGATGGGCCCCTCTAGGCCTGCTATACACGGGAGACAGACATAAAGGGCGCCCGGCATTTCATCTGACAGCCCTGTCCTTAGCCCGTCGGTTTCCTCCAGCAGCGGAGCAGCCAGGGGCTTTGCCCTTAGCAAGCTTCCCTCCAGGTGTCTCCTTATTGATTTTTACCTTAATGGGGACAAAAATCCCATCTCTGCCAGAAAGTCACTGTGGAAGTTAAATGGATCCAAATCTGAACAGAGCCCAGGTGTCGTTACTGATACTCAGATAACCCTGGGACAAGAGCTGTTTGAAACACGATTGGAAAATGGTCCCTGACAGCATGAGCAGCCTGGGAACCGTGGCTTTGGATCCCTTGCCTTGCGACACTTCCCCAGGGAGCTATCAGACCCTATTGCTGCAGCCCCCAAGGGTGAGCGTCTGCAGAGGGCAGGGCTGTCCCGCAAGTGGCCTCACGGAGGCCTGGCCCTGTGGCTTCCCAAACCCAAATCCCACTCACTGCCACGGAGTCACTGCTGACTCCCAGTGATCCCATGGGACAGGGCAGAACTGCCCCTGAGCGTTTCCAAGACTGTAATTTGACGGGAGTAGAAAGCCCCATCTTTCTCCTGACGAGTGGCTGGTGGTTTCGAAGGGCTGTCCTGACAGTTAGCAGCCCGACACATAGCCACTGTGCCCCAGAGCTCCTACACATTTGTGGGATATCCCTAGAGATTAGGGTCCATCAGGCTTGGGCACACGTGCTCCCCTCCCCCACAACCCAGTGTCTCATCTGAGAACACGGGGCTTCAAGTGGGCTCAGTTTCCTCCTCTTTGCAGTGGGGAGGCTTGATGCTGATTCTGGGGACCGTCTGTCAATCAGGATCCCATCCATGGGGAGGGCACCACAACCTGCAGTCTCCTGATGGTGACAGTTCGGGCTGCCAGCCCTCCCCAGAGGGTTCTTACTACACATGTTTTAAGAGATCAAATGAAACAAAACAACACCCAGTTAAATTTGCATTTCACATCAACAATGGAGAAACTTGAGCAGATGCTCCACGTCCTGCCCTGGACATAGTCACACTACAAAAGTATCCCTTGTTCATCTGAAATTTAAATTTCACTGGATGGAGTCCTACGTTGCTTTGTTATGGTTTTCTTAAACCAGGCAGCCTGGGTGGTGGCCAGTGAGGGCTTCAGCTGCAGACTTAGGGGCTCTGGGGCTGAGCTTGTGCGAGGCCCTTCCCTCGGCCCTTTCCATCCTTCACGATCACCGGAGACTTGCTTTGACCCTCCAGTAGAGGAGCGCAAGCTCAGTTGTAAACTCAGGAGCGACCGTTCAGTTATACACCTGTAGCATCTTTGGCCCTGACCTTGGGATCTCAATGTCCAAATCTGTTCGGTGGGTGAGCAGAAGCTCATTTGACAAGATAATCTTGGGCAGCTGGCTTGTTCTCTCTGGCCCCTTGCCTGTCTGCCCAGGATGGGGCCAGGACCTGGAGGCTGAGCTTGAGACAAGGGGAACTAGGAAAGTCTCTCTCTATATATAGCCTGTGCCCATGCCATCTCTTACCTTCAGGTTTCCTCCCCTTGAAAGAGGGGATAGTAATGGTCCTGACGCAGGGCATGGAGGTGGGACGTGGTCGCACAGTGATGAGGGCTCAGAAATGAGTCCTCACTATTGCTACGCCTGCCGCCGCCAAAGTGGTGGGGACAGGATTGGCTAGGCAGCGCAGTTCTCGTCAAACTGAAGAACGCTGTCCCTGAACCTCAGCCCGCTCTGCAGGGCCGGGGACTTCAAACCCTGCCACCGTCTAGATCTCAGAATTTCAAGCTGTGAAACCGTGTCGTTCAGCCCTTCCACTGTATGGCTGTGGACACCGAGGCCAGGGGAGCCTGGACGAGGAATGGTCAGTGTGCAGTAGAAAACTCAGTGTGTGACTGGGCTGGCCAACCCTCAGAGGAAAATCATGTCGATGTGAAAAAGCAAGTATCAGAGAGAGAGAGAGAGAGAATTTGGGGCCCAAACCAAACCCACTGTCAAAGGGTCAATTCTAACTCATAGCAATCCTGTAGAACAGAGTAGAACTACATCTTCACAAAATACACACTGCCTCATCTTTCTCCTGCGGAGCAGATGGTGAATTTGAACCTCTACACGTTCAGTTGGCAGCCAATCACTTAACCGCTGTGCCGCCAGAGCTCCTTGATGCGTGATTAGAGGAACGATGAGACAGGTTGACACAGCAGCGACAACAATGAGCTCAAAGGGCAGCGATTATGAGGATGGGGTAGTGGGGGGTCCCTTGAACACAGGGTGGCTATGAGGTGGAGTTGTCCCGATGGCACATAGCAACACAAGGCAGGGTTTACACAGGGCCTCAGTGGGACACCTCCCCAGGACTCACCTTATGAAGAGCAGGCTTGGTTCTTTCTAGCCCAGATTGGCCCCATCCAACCTCTGACTCATTGTCAAGAGCTTAACAAATTGTGCCACTGGAATCCCAAGAAAAGGCACAATTTGTTAAGCACTTGACAATGAGCCAGAGGTTGGAGGTTCAAGCCCAGAAGAGGCGCCTTGGGAGACAAGTCTGGTGATTGCTTCCGAAAAGCCTTGAAACCCTGTGGGATCTTCTACCGTGGATATATGGGGTTACCACGAGTCCAAAGGTTTGGGGGTTGTCCCTGGTCTTTCATTGTCGCTGGGCATACAAATACATGCAAATCGTGCAACACAGCCACACCCCTGGGTTTACGTGGGGGTGAGGGGTGGGAAGAATGATAATAATTTAGAAGGTTTTATCCAGGTTCCATCCTTTCCTCATGCCTGTTCTCTGACCCTGGCACTGGCCACGTTGTTGGGACAGATTCATGAGTGTGAAGCCTTCAGGACAATGCTTGCTACCCAGTAAAAGCCTTAGAGTTGTTGGCTTTGGGCATTCTGCCTTCAGAACTCTTGCTTTTCCCGATTCGTGACCCAAGGATGCTCCACAGCAAAGGGAATCCTTCGCAACAGCCTTGGAGCCCAGGACCCGCTCCAGGGAGCTCCAACTGGGCCAGTGGGGATTCAGTGGAGTCCTGAAACCACTTCCTCTCCCCCCAGAAGCTGGAATGGCACTCTGCTCCAGCGACCGGCAAGGTCCAGGGCCCAGGACATTTCTGCAGTGACAATATCCAGGATGTGTTAGAAAGCCTCTCCAAGCTAGGCACTAACTTCCCCAAAGAGATGGTGCTGTCCTTCTGCCCATTTTACAGGGGAGGAAACGGGAGCACCAAGACTGGGGTTTCCAGCTGGGGGCATGTGATTCCAGAGCCCAGGCTCTTTACCTGAACCACAAAGGTGTGGGCAACTGCATGACCTGCCTTCTAGGGAGGGCTGGATGATCAGACCACCGAGTCCGATCCTAGAGGGTCCTCAGGTACGCTGGCCCATATCCAGCCCCTTCTCTATGGTCTCTGTACAGACATCTAGACTTTTTTGTTGAAGTTGTTGCTCATGCCCATGGAGTCAGGGCTGCCACCCCTGCCCCGTCTCCAGAATCAGTTGCAGATTGGACCAGTATGACTCCTAGGGTTTTTCTTTGGCTGGTTTTTGGAAATAGCTCAATCGCCAGCCCTTTCTTCCCAGTCCTTCTTCATCTGGAAGCTCCGCTGAAGCCTGTTCAGCAGCAGAGCAACATACAGGCTTCCACTGGCAGGCGGCTGGTGGCTGTGCTGTGAGGTGCACCTGCCGAGACTCAAACCTGGGTCTCCGGGTTCGTGGAAGGCGAGCATTGTGCCTCTGACCCACCACTGCCCTTGGATTTCTCTTGATAGAGGATGATTCCTTGTCCTGTGTGAATTCCTCCCCGCACGGGGGACAGCTTGAAAGCACGGACCTCCTCAAACGCTTGGGACAGAGTGGACCCTCAGCGTAACCAAGGGGCTGTTACCGATGCTATTTAGCGTAGAGGTTGATTTTACAAATGAGAAAAACAAGGCCAGAAAAGACGTTTTCCTGGGATACCAGAACAACCAGATGTCATCAAATCCATCAGACCCAGTCCCAGTGCCGACCCTGATGCTTGCTGGGAGCAAAAGGGATCGACCTCCTGAACCTCCGTGTCCTCATCTGCAAAATAGAGGCCACACCCATAGCTCTCTCCCAGGTTGCTGGGGAGCAGACAGCCTCCTCTTTCTCTGGCGCAGCGGCAAGGTAGACCCCCTCCCCGACCCTCCACCCCCACCCCACTTCCATCGTTCTAGCCTCAGGAAGGGCCGTGCCCGTGCCAGGGGAAATTGAGGCCCAGGCAGCGGGGGCAGGGGGCTGCTGTTTCGCTCACAGAGCCAGGGCTTCCTGGGAAAGAGCCCGTTGGCCCTGAGATGTGTGAATCCACTAGTCGGTCAGGATGGAGGGAGGCCAGGGTGCTGGAGCCCGTGCTGTGGCCTCCCCGTGAAGACCTGGAGATGCCTCCTTCCTAAGACAAAGAGGCGTGTCTGGGGGCCCAGTACAGGGTGACTGTGGCCCAGAGCCCCCATCCTGGCCGCCCACAGCTGAGCTGCAGGAGGCGGCAGGGTGGTGCATTTGATAGTGGGTGGCTG